ATTTAATATTTAGCAATTACACAATTTAAAATAAGTTATACCATTTTTTGAAACTTGTGGTTAATTTATGCAATACAGTAAAGTAAAAAACTTTTTGTATGAAGTAAAATAAATCCAGTTTTTGGTTTACACAATTGATATGTTCATACAGTTGGTATTTTTGAACATTTTGTTTATGGTGAAGAACAGCATAAACAGCATAAACAGCAAATGTGGGCCAAACTGACGGAAATGTGACATTAATAAGAGCTGACCAAACAATAAATAATATATATTTTTAATTTTTAATTAGGTTTTTAATTTACATGAATAACAAATGTCGTTACAATTGGTTATCAAAAGGGATCTCAAACTGAGAAAAAAGTTAACCAAATGACAGACAGAGTGTCATTGATATAACAATTGAAAACTTTTAAAATTAATTTAACACAATTATACGCAAATGTGTAATTTATATAAGTAAATTCATTAAATTAAATTAAAACATTATAACCATTAAAACATCAAAGATCTACAAAATAAATGATCTATTAATTTCCACTTAAATTCCTATTTATGAAGGTAGAGGGCACATGTATTACATTTACAAATTTAATTAATTTAAAGTTGTATTAAATTATAAACATATTTGCAATAAAAATGAAAACTGTTTATTAATTAATAATACAATGTTTAACACAAATATATTTATGCTAATTAATTATCAAAATGTTTTACCCCTGGTAATAACAATAATAGTTGGGCTAATAATTTATTACATAATACATTTCTACGCCACTCTATGCCACTATCCGCCCGGTCCTACGCCTCTGCCATTCATGGGCAATATATTACGTAAATATAAAATAACAATTTAAACAATAAATTAAAAAAATTAATAATTGTTTTAATTAAAAAGTATTTCGCAATATTAAACGGCACTTGAATGAGGACTTGAGACAGTTGTACGATATATACGGTCCGGTAGTGACGGTATGGGTCGGTCCCAAACCCGTTGTGATCGTCGGTGACCCGCATGTCGTCAAACAGGCATTTTCTCGGCCAGAATTCTTGGGCCGAATGGAGAACATGTTGTGTATGTGTAGACAATAATTGTACCATGATCATTGATCATGAAATTTATCATGTAATTTTTTTTTATGATTGTCAGCGAGTATTTTTAACGATAGCTCACACAGGGATCTCCAATGGAGAACATGTTGTGTATGTGTAGACAATAATTGTACCATGATCATTGATCATGAAATTTATCATGTAATTTTTTTATGATTGTCAGCGAGTATTTTTAACGATAGCTCACACAGGGATCTCCTAATCAACTCACACATAGCCAGTTGGGAAAGTTTGCGAAAGGTTGCTCACATGGCAGTCAGGTATGATGTGAATACGACTAAACAATCTCAATCATTATTCACAATTAGATAATTGTAATCTGATATATAAATTTACTGTATAAGCTTATATAATTAAGATAGATATACAGTATAATGCTTTATCTAATTTATAAATTCATAACATTTTAATGATAGTGAATATAATTGATATTTAATTAATTAATAGACAAATCATTAAACTTTTGTTGAGTTGAATTACTTTAATATTTTATTTTAAAATATAGCAAATACTCAAAAACAATAGATTTCACGCATAGAGTGAATGCATTGATTGCGGACATCACTACACAAATGATGGTCAAAGAGGGCACTAATCGGCCGTTTGAACCAAAAACATATCTTTTAGATATGGTTTTGAACAGTATTTCGTTAACTATTTTTAGTCACAAGTATTTAAATTAATAATAAAACAAAATAATATCAGATAAATATTAATAAATGCTGTTTTTTTACCAGACTAGATCAAGAATATTTCACCATGTTTAAATATCATGCCACCGCTTTTTCACATGATATAGACAACACGTTTATTCTGTACGAATATATACCTGTTTTACGTCTCTTTATGTCCGACCCGTTGGCAAAATTTTGCACAAATTATAATCAATGCTTTGATTATACGCTAAAAGTATTGAAAACACACGAAAATACTTACGATGAGAGCGTTTGCCGAGACTTTTGCGATACGTTTATCGGCGCTAAACGTAAGGCAGAGGCAATGGAATCGAATGCAATGGAATGCTATGGAATGGAATGGAATGCATTGGAATGGAATGTCCTCTAATGGAATGGATTCGAGTGGAATGGAATCGAATATAATGGAGTCGAATGAAATGGAATTGAAAGGAATGGGATCGAATACAATGGAATATACTGGAATGTAATGTAATGAACTCGAATGTAATTGACTGGAATGGAATGTACATGAATGGAATGTAATCGAATGGAAAGTAATCCAATGGAATAGAATCTAATGCAATAAAATCGACTCAGATAGAGTAGAATGTAATGGAATGGAGTGCAGTGCAATGGAATGGAATGGAATGGAATGCAATGGAATGGAATGGAATGGAATGGAATGGAATGGAATGGAATGGGATGGAATGGTATGGAATGGATAGTAATGGACTGGAGTGAAATGGACTGGAAAGGAATGGACTCAAATTGAAAGGTCTCGAAAGGAATGGAGTCAAATGGAATGGTCTGGAATGGAATGAACACGAATGTAATGCAATCCAATAGAATGGAATCGAATGGCATGGAATATAAAGAAATGGAATCGAAGAGAATGGAAACAAATGGAATGGAATTGAATGGAATGGAATTGAATGGAATGGGAACGAATGGAGTGAAATTGTATGCAGTAGAAGAGAATAGAATGGAATGCAAGCGAAAGGAAAGGAATGGATTGGAATGGAATGGAATTCATTGGAATGGAAGGGAATGTAGTGTAATGGACAGGCCTGGAATAAAGTGGAATGCTACGGTCTCGAATGGAATAAAAATGTATGGAATGGAATGCAATGAAACGGAATCGAATGTCATAGAATGTAATGGAATGCAAAAAAATGGAATCCAAAATCATTGACTGGAAAGGCTGGGTGTCGAAAGGAATTGACTCCAATGGAATGGAATCGAATGGAATGGAAGTGAATAGAATCGAACTAAATCGAATGGAATGGAATTGATAGGAACGGAATGGAAAGGAATGCAATGATTTGGCATGGAATGGAATCGAATGGCATCGAATGGAATGGAATGGAATGCAATGGAATGGAATATATTAGAATGTAATGAACTTTAATGGAATGTACTCGAATGGATTCGACTGGAATGGAATGTTCTGGAAGTGAATGGACTCCAATGGAATGGATTCAAAAGGAATGGAATCGTACGGAATGGAATCCAATGGAATGGAATTAAATGGAAATGAATCAAATTGAATAGCACGGAATTGAATTGAATGGAATTGAATGCAATGGAATCTAATGAAACGGAAAGCAAAGGAATGGAATGGAATGGAATGGGCTGGAATGGAAAGGAATCGAAACGAATGGAATGGAATCGAACTGAAGAGACTGGAATGGAATGCACTGGAATGGAAGGGAGTGTAATGGAAGGTTCTCGAAAAAAATGGAATCGAATGGAATGGAATTGAATGGAACGGAATAGAGTCGAATGGAATTGAATGGAATGGAATGGACTAGAGTGAAATGGAATCGAACCACAAGGAATGGACAGGAATAGAATGGTCTCGAATTGAATGGAATCGTATGGAATGGCATCAAACGGAATGGAATGGACAGCCACGGAATGGAATGCACTCGAATGCAATGGAGTCGAAACTAATGGACTGGAATAGAATGGACTCGACTGGTACGGACTCCAATGGAATGGAATCGAATGGAAGGGAATCGAACGGAATGGACTCGAAGGGAAAAGACTGCAATGGAAAGGTCTCGAATGGAATGGAAATTAATGGAATGGAATGGAATCGAATGAAATGGAGTCAAAAGGAATGGAATCGAATGGCAAGAAATCGAATGTAATGGAATCGCAAGGAATTGATGTGAACGGAACGGAATGGAATGGAATCCAAAGGAATGGAATAGAATGGAATGGAATCGAATGGAAAGGACTCGAATGGAAATCACTCGAATAGAATGCAATTTAATAAAATAGGATCAAATGTAATGGAATGGAATGGAAAGGAATCGAAACGAAAGGAATGGAGACAGATGGAATGGAATGGAACAGAGAGCAATGGTATAGAATGGAATGGAATCATCTGGAATGGAATTGAATGGAATGGAATAATATGAAATGGAATGGAATGGAATGGAATGGAATGCCCTTGAATTAAATGGACTGGACTCGAACAGAGTGGAATGGAAAGTGTTGAGATAGAATGGAATGGACTCCTTTGGAATGGTGTAGTATGCAATGCAATCGACTGGCAGGGAATCAAAAGGAATGTAATGGAATGGATTGGACTGGAATGCAATGGACTCGAATAGATTGGAAACGGAATGCAAAGGAATGGAATGGAATAGTATGGAATGGAATGGAAAGGAATGGAGTGGAATAGACTAGAGTGGAATGGAATGGACTGGAAAGCAATGGACTGGAATGGAACTTTCTTGAATGGACTGGAATCAAACGGAATGGAATGCAATGCAATCAAATGGCATGGAATAAAATAGAATGAAAGAGAATCAAATGGAATTGAATCGAATGGAATCGAATGGATTGGAAAGGAATAGAATGGAATGGAATGGAATTGACTCAAATGGAATGGACTAGAATGGAATGGATTCGAATGGAAGGCAAAGGAATGGAATCTATTGGAATGGACTGTAATGGAATGGAATGGAAGGGATTGGAATGGACTCGAATGGAATGGACTGCAATAGAAAGGATTCGAATGGAATGAAAAAGAATTGAATGGAATAGAACAGAATGGAATCAAATCGAATGAAATGGAATGGAATAGAAAGGAATGGAATGAAATGGAATGGAAAGGATTCGAATGGAATGCAATCGAATGGAATGGAATCGAACGGAATGGAATAAAATGGAAGAAAACTGGCAAGAAATGGAATCGAAATGAATGGAGTGTTATGGAACGGACTCAAAAGGAATTGAATGTAATAGAATGGAGTGGAGTGGACTCGAATATAATGGACTGGAATGGAATGAAATCACATGGAATGGGAACGAATGGAATGGAATGGAAAGGAATGGAATCGAATGGAAAGGAATCGAATGGAAGGGAATGAAATTGAATCAACAGGAATGGAAGGGAATAGAATAGACGGTAATGGAATGGACTCGAATAGAATGGACACGAATGCTCAAATTGAATGGACTCGAATGGAATGGAAACGAAAGGAATGTCATCGAATGGAATTGAATCGATTGGAATGAAATCGCATAGAATGGAGTGGAATCAAATGGAATTGAATCGAAAGGAAAGGAAGCGAATGGACTGAAATGAAATGGAATGGAATTGAATGGAAAGTAATGCAATGGAATAGAATGGAACGAAATTTCACGGAATGGAATCAAACTGAATGGAATCAAATCAATGGAATCAAATCAAATGGAATGGAAAGGAATTGAATGGAGTAGATTGGATTGGATGGGATTGGAATGAAATGTACTGGAAAGGACTCGAATTTCATGAAACGGAATGGAATGAATTGGAACGGAATGGACTCGAATGGAATGGAATGTCATGGAATGGCATCAAATGGAATGGCATCAAATGGAATGGAATCGAATGCAATGGAATGCTATGGAATGGAATGGAATGCATTGGAATGGAATGTCCTCTAATGGAATGGATTCGAGTGGAATGGAATCGAATATAATGGAGTCGAATGAAATGGAATTGAAA